TCTCCATATTCTAATGCAGAATTATTGTTCTTTGTGTGTGTTTCTCATTCAATGTACATGGAGTAACCTGGGGGCTATGTGCAGCAGTGCAGCCCATTAGAGAGATGCTCTTAAGGGTATAAAAATGGAAGAATACTGTGCTGTATACATTCCAATGTGGGAAGAGACACCTAAATATAAATTGAAAGTAAGTACACTGCGCCACTATCCCTGAGAAAGGAACAAGTGCTGTGGCCAAATGCAGTACTCATGAGATTTGGGGTAAAATATCTAAATCGATAAAACTCTTAAAAAAGGTGACAGAAAAGGAAGAGAGAATTGCAATATTGTTTTGTTGACCTACTGATTTGATTTTCCAAGATTTTTTTGTTGTTTTACACTCTGTAAAGAAGCTAGTGTTGGAATCAGTGCCACTTTTCTTAGTGTTCTGGATTCTAAAGATGCTCTGGAATTGTGTGTAGTTCAACAATTCAGTTTTTTGTGTTTTTTTAGTACAACCACCACCAGTGTAATCCTGTCTGGAGTATCAGTACCTTTTATTTGGATCTGATGTTCCGTCTTTTAGTAATAAAATGAAGGTAACATTAACATATATTGTAAATTTAACTGAATATCATTTTTAATAACTAAAGTTTACAAGTGGGAAAACTAATCATCAAATGATAGTTTATTAATGACACTGACATGATTTCAAAATAGATTTAATAAAACATTTAAGATTACGTTCTCTTAAAGGAAAATGTTATGTGCTGGCTCATTGGAAAAATGATACTGATAAGTCTGTCTAGGGCCAAGGTTTAGAATGCATCTGGATTCTCATTAACTGAAAACTGAGAGCTGTAGATGTGTTCTGTAACTCCAGAAATAAAAAAACCCAAACCACACAAGCAAAAAACCCCACAACAATGACCTGTACATTTTATCTCTGATCTCATTTTCATGAATGATTTAAACAAATGGATTAAAGTCACATAAATTGAATACTTAAATTAAGCCATAGACTTCAGTGGGATTCATTTGATTCTCAGCATAATAATAACTTCTCAAGGAGCACTTGAATCCATAAGATTTATCCTCAAATATTTTAGTTTAGATGTGCAAAATATTATTGTTTGATGAGTATTGTAACTTGTAAAATTAACTCCTGGAGAATCATCTTCTTCCTAGGAGTGTTACATATGCAGTTATGATTCCCGTTTTGCGAAAACTTGTTCTCCTATACAGTACATTTTAAAGTTATTTAGGAAAGAGTTCCTCAGAAGTAAATAATTTAATGTGCTGCCTGAGGGGAACAAAGAATAACTGCTGCAAACCACCTTTTGACACAGACATACAATATCTGAAATATGGAAAGATACAGTAAATCAAGAAGATAAACAGAAAAGTATGGCAAAAACCATAGGAATAATCATAAAGTTATAAATAAAATGTGAATGTCAAATTGAAAAACGCGCACATTGCCTTAGAAGCCAGCAACCATAACACCATAACATGGAAACTGCAAAGTGGAATCAAGCCAGTGGTCCATCTAACCCACCCATCAATGGTCATGATGAGAGGCTATGGAGAGAAGAGGATAGGGGCACAATAAATATATGCAATATTTCTTCCTAATATTTTCCTATCCCAGAACAGACAGATGAGATCAGAGTGAAGCAAATTTTTGCCAGAATTCCCCATGCTCAGTAAGTATTCCTAAATTTCAGAAGACCTCCCTATAACCACAGGGTCATGCTTTTGAGTTCCACAGTCTCAGATACTTCTCCTGTTGTCCCTGTGGCACACATGGAGACTCAAGAAAGGAAAGTTTTGTATTAACCTAGAAACAAATTCATTCATAATCTCTGAAAATAGATGTTAAATTATCTCTGTAGGACTGAGCAGCCATAAAGTCAACCTGTACTACTCAAAGCTAAAGAGTGTGGCAAGAGGGAAAAGTCATGGAGTGGCTCGCTCAAGTTTCTCTCCATCATGTCCACAAGGACATAACTGTCCAAGATGGCAGCTGCCTCCATCATACAGGAAGGACAGAAAACTGCAAATGTTGCTTCAGAGGGATCCACACACCCCCTAAAGGCTTCTCTCAAATGAAGCTGATTTGGTTTAAAAATAATTTGCACTTCTGCCACTAATTTGCTCCAGTAAAAGTTTATTTTAATTTTGGAAAGGAAAAATCTACAATATTCCCTAAAGGTGTAAGTCTGCTTAAAAGGTTTCTTAAATTATTCCAAAGAAAATGGCAGCCCAAACAGGCCACTTTTCTGTGTGTTTCTCTTGCTAAGGTAGAAATAACACTGGTGAAGCTAAAGTGCACAACTTCTCAACCTGAGTGGTTATCAGGCAGCATTGTATCTGTCAGGGTGACACTGATGCTGTCAGGCTGTTACAGATTGAGTTCCAGAATTATGTGATGTCTGAGGGACTATAAAGCAATGAAAAATTCTGATGGTTTACATAAAGGAATATCTCAGCTCTTTGATGATCAATAGGAGAAAGATGA